GCAAGCCTTGCAGCCACGGCAGTGCTGTTGAGCAAGTCTAAAACGGTACGACCTTCGAAGCATCTGGGATCCAAGCAAGTCCTTGGATCCGGCTGGACGGACAACAAGGGCCAAATCATGTCATCATCCCTTAATGCAAGGAGAATGATATGCAACGGTATTCAATGGTATTCACAAACCATTAAACTCGAGTCACATTACAGCGAGCTGCTGATCGAGATTCCCCGAAGACGATTCGGTCAAAATGATGTTGACTCATGTGAGCCATGTATTGATTTCTTGTTGCAGCTATGGAGACTCGCAGAACATCTCATGGCCCACGACAAAAGAAACAAAGACACAGAAGCAAAGAAGCACAAGCACTCAAGAACATGTCCGTACCTTACGAGGGCCGTGGTACAGTCTGTCGCAGTCACCAGCAAGCCAAGTTGAAGCGTGTCGCGGCGACACCAAGCATTGACTGTACCGCAACTCGCCAGCTCAGGAGCAGTGGCAAATTAACCCTGCGACATTCATTTCTGCGTTTGGCTACTGCGACACCGGATATGACTTCTCGGTGCCAATGTCGCGGAGCTGAATAACATCAGAGTCCAAGGCTAATCATGCGAGAAGTCCTTCCTTCGAGTTTTCATGTGACGACAGTGTAGCCTGCAAGCTTTCGAACCACTGCAGCAACACAGCATGCGCACACCCATTGTCCTGAAGCCTTACATGAGGAAAGCCGGAAAGCCTCGAGGTCGCGGCTGCTTGGCACAGATTCCTTGGAGGTCGATACCCGGAGTTTTCACTAGCCAAGCTGCTAGGTCATCAAGCTCGAGCTAAAGCCCGAAGTGCTGGAAACTGCTCTTTGCAGGATCTCAGTCCACGCACCCGGGAAGTCTTAGCCAAACGAGCTTGGCTTTGGCGACGATGACGCATCACTAAGAGCATGCCCAACTCAGGCAAACACGCGGAGATGTCAGGTTTGTGGATCACACATGAGAAGCTACTTGGATAGCAGGCATGGGGATTTTGCAACAGCTGCTTTGAGCAACTGGCAAGCATTGGAGATGCAGGCACCGGTTGAACAGACTGCTTGTGAATTCCTCAAGCAACGAGCTACATGTAATACCTTGTTCAGCACATGACTTGAGCGCTGCGCTTGAGTCCTCTTAACGTCCGGGCCTGTCGAAGGGATGACAGAACCTGCAAACACCTTGGCAGATCCTGAAGCCAAAGATTTCCTCCCTGTGCCATCTGCACCATGCAAACTTGGACCCGCCTGGTCAAGGATGGGTTCGCTGTCCAGTCAGACCTACGAAAGGCCTGTACCGTCGCGTCGAACTTTCAGGGTACGGGTTGATGCTTTGGCTGTCCGGCGACGATTGCTTTTTGGAGCTTTCTCGGGTGTAATCCTGAAGGGTTTCAACCCAAGAAGGCATAAGCCTGCGCGTCCTGTTCAATTGTGCAACATTCACGTCCCAACCATTACAGGGCTGCCACAACATCACAATCTTCAACAGGAAGCACCTTGGGCAGCTGGCACAAGCTAGACATACTGGCTGGCTTTCCGGGAACATGAGGGCTGTACCGAGCCATCAAACTCTCAGCGTAGAGAGTGACTCCGCCAAACATGAAGTGTTGAACTGAAAGGCCCGCCCAAGGGGTGGACGCCAGTGACCCGCGCCGCATCGTGTGGACCCTCGAGAAAGCCAGCCTGACCAGCAGCCAGGGTTGCAGACGACAAGGGCTGCGCACCGCATGTACCATACATGTGGGTGTTTCCTTTGCTGATCAGGCGTGATGAGGTAACATGAATTAACCAGGTATGCGCAGGCCATTGCTCTCTGACGAAGGAATCTCATAGAAGGTCTTGCATTTCTGGCATGCTCGTCCGTGGGGAGCTTCGGAATCGGAGGGCTAGGTGTCTTGCTTCCAGGGGGCTTGCTCGTTGCGGACCTCTACGGGTTAGTGCTTCATGCAGCCCGGAGTTTTGGGGTCTACGCTGTACGCCGTGAAGGGTTTAGAAGTAGGGTGGAAGTAGGGCGCAGCTCTGCAAAAGCCCCGAACTGGGGCCAGCGTCATTGCAGCCAGCAAGGAGCTGTGCGAGAACTGACAAGAGCGAAGGGATCCTGGGTCGGGGTGGGTAATTAGGCACAGAAGACACCCGGGTATTTTCTCACATGTCATCAATCTTGAAGCTGGACAACCCAAGACTTTCATCATCACAGGGAGCATAAGCCGTTTCATGCCGAAGTACCTGACCTGTTTGCGTGAAGTGTCAGAATTTTCCTGGCCCATTTTACTTGCACAAACCTCTGATCTCCATCCAATCTCGTCAGCACTGTGAAGCCGTCTCAGGCAAGAACAAGGACCGGGAGAAGGCTCATCTTGCACCAAGTCGAAGCCAGCTACCTCGGCTAGCGGATCGTAGTGCTTCGAGTCTTGCGCGGCAGCACGTGGGATGTTGACTGGGGCCACTCAATCGCCAGCTTCAACCTTTTTTCCTTACGAACTCGTTGGTAAGCGGAGAGCAGGTGCCACAGCATCGCTAAGAGCCTTTTTTTCTCGTCGGGCCATGTTGAGTTCGTCGGAGACCCACCACAAAGGCAATGCGCAGAACGACAGCCATTGGCACGATTCGGTTCTACTGCAGCATACTAAATGTCAAAACATGAGAGCTGCTGGGCAGGTCTCGCCATCCTTTCGCGTTCCGATGGGCAGCCACGACGTTGAGTTCAAGCTGAACCTTTTTGCAACGAGCCTTGCCTATACTTGTCGCGGCTCGGGCTCGGGCAGATAGCAGAGAAGCTGCGGCGTGAGGACTCCCGACTGTAGCGGTTCAAGCAGTTCACTTGGGGGATGACCGTAGCTCCGAGCTGCTCGAGCCGTGGCCCCGAGGTCGGTGTCGTCTAACCGCCACTGTGGCACAGCCGCAAGCAGATCAGCAAAGCCCAGGAGGATTCCTTCTGGGGTAGAGAAGACGACAGCCGGCCTTCAAATCTCGCGCGACAGTGGTGCTCCGTGCATCTAAGGTTCTTCATTCAAGAAGGCCAAGGGGAAAGGATGCGTGGCATTGAGTGACCTGACCGCGACATTCCATCTCCAGCCCCCGGCACTGCACGGAAAAACCCGTCTTGCGCGACATGCTTTCGTTTGTCCTCGGAAAACTGCGCCGTGGTGACCTGAGGATGTGTCCAAAGCATCAATGACTGCACACATCCAACGCTAAAGTTTCGAGTTATTCTCGGTGAAGAAGGCTGGTGCTCTCATGGCATGTGCCCTCATGTGCCTACTTATGCAGCAGAGTGGTGACTTTGCAGAGGGCAGTAAATACCATGGCCAGCCGTCAAGAGCTTCAGCTTCGGGCCTGCTGCACAGGATCAATATCTAAGCAGACGTCACCCTTCATTGAGCACGACTTCGCAGAGAAGCAGATTTGCAACATCCCCGCGCCCCTGCATGCCTCGAGAGGTCAGTGCCTCATGCCTTGTCAGCTCCACAGGGGTGATTTTCGGCTTTTGCCCGGAAGCGATCGCACTGCAGCGACATCGTTGAGGGAAATTGCAGACAGGGCCGGCATTCAGGATTCTTTACACATCGAGGGCCCGCGCATGGCAGACTCAAGCCTTTGCAGGGGTCGTGGAGAGGTCTCGTCACTGGAGTGAAGGGCCTTACAAGTCAGATAACGTTGGCAACATGATAGCACCGACCATGCTCCAAGCACGCTTCTGGCGACAGATAGAGCAGCATAGTGCTTGCAAGAGGCTTGAACAGATCATGGCATAGTTTGCACGAAATACCTTAAAGGGTCGGGGACATACATGCCCAGGGTTTACCATAATAAGCCTGTTCCGACGCATCACAATATGGAGCCTCACCAGCCTAGCAGCTGCTTGAAGCATCGTCGAGCTTATGCAGGGGAAGAGGAATGGGACTTCCTCAACGCCGATGCTGACAAGCTCACTTTTGTGGTTGTCCCTCGTCGTTCACTGAACTTTATAAGCATGGCATGGCGTGCGCGAGAATTCTGCAACCGTTTCCGGTACCGCATGCTGCAATTGACATCATACCTCCGTTCCAGATCCAGAGCACATCGGGTGGTCGATGTAGGGCCAGCAGCGAAGACACAGTAAGTTCGATCTGAGTTCCTCGAGATGCTTAGTTCCAGTGCCCAATACGTGAAAGGAAAGGACAACTTAGCACAAACAGGGAAGGAGGATTACTTTCCAAGATCTCTGAGGTTCTCGAAGTGGCCGCACCGAGCGCTTGACTGAAGCTTTGCTGCGCGATCACGTCCTGGCACTGTGGCTAGAGAAACGAAGAGTGGCAAGAGCTCAGCGAGATAATCGTGCTTTCTTCTCTACCATTCCCAAGATTCCCAGAATAGTCGTTTACGGTCATCTTTCTGGAAGAAACTTTACTGTTTGGGACGATGTTGTATTAATGCTCACCCGGTGACAGTGACAGACTCTGGGAAGCATCCTGGATAGACGCACTGCTGGGCTGTCTGCGGCATCACACAGAGGGAAACCCCCTCACAGAGTACGCGACTTGATGGGTAATTGCAAGCATGTCACCCTCTATTGCCCGTTGAGTTGCCTGCATCACGAGGCATTGAATGACTCGACATTTCGGTGAACAATGCATGCGCTGCTTTTCTCTGAGACCGCTCGGGTTTGAATTTGGCACTGTGTCCAGATAGAGCAAAAGCAATGGCGGTTTCTCGGAACTAGGTGACTCCAGGGCCGAGTGCTCGCAAAGACAGCTCAGCAGCTCCAGTGGGGTGCCTAATTCAGAGAAGCCGCCAAAAATGATCCAGCGGAGTAGATCTGGGAGAAAAGGAACGCTTTTGGAGCGCGACGCAGGCGAGTATGTGATCCCAGACTCCTCCTACTGCCCTCAAGCTACAAAATTCTTACGTTTTGAAAGCGAAATTAGGTCATTGCTTGCTTTTCCTCCGAGACCGAGATCAATACACGTAGCACTCGAAGGTTGGAGCTGGATACAGCAACTGGCAGGTCAGAAGTATCTGGTGCTTCGACACATCTTGGAAGCGACCAGGACGCTCCTCTCGAAAGGTGTCAACAGCAGACATGTTCAAGTCATGCTAGACTCTATGGCTACGCAGTTTGGGCTCCAAGGGTTCTTTCCACAGGGTCAAGCCGAGAAGGAGTTGAATGCATCTGCTTACGTTGAGCATTGGAGTTTTGGGCGATCTCCACCATATCATAGACTTCCAGATTTAGTGAGCTCCAGTGGGGGTTCGATTTGTCTCCGATGTCTTCGTCGCCATTGTCAAACCAACTTCGCGATCGAAACAGAGGCTCCAACATCTGATCGTCAAAATCGCAGGAGTTGATGTCCAGTTTGCTGCCTGTGCGGCAGCGCATTCGTCGCGGGCACAGCTGCCGCCGTTTGGTCCCTGGAGATATGCGAATGATTTCGGGGGTTCTAGCGACGTGAAGAGTGTGAACGCAAGCTTTTGTGTGGCATCCGGAATTGCACCTTTCTGCATTAGGCCCGACATGTGTTTTTTTCAAAGGCAAGGGCACGCTCTGTTACTTCTTCGCCGAGCGACAGATGTTTTCGGCTTGGCAAGTCAGCTAGCAGCTCGCACGTCGTGGAGTTTCGGTATCATCCGTTTCCTCCTCATCTGCCAGACTGCAGCGCAAGGACTGGTACAGACATGCTGACATGCTCGGAGTGCTTGTGTGTGTGTGTGTGTGCGCGTCCACGCGTGTGTGCAGGGCGACATGTTTGAGTAAATATAATAAAGAAAGTGGTGCATGGGGCAGCGTGAGTGTTAGAGAGCCAACGAGTCAGTCAGTCAACAGCGCAAGCCTGCCTGCCTGTCTGCCTCCTGCGCGCTTGGGTGTGTGAGGAGCAGGTAAGAAGCAAGCAAGGGAGTACAGTATGTAAGTGGGCACATCAGTCGGTCAGCGAAACATGCAAAAGCATGCTCGTGTGCCTGGGTGGTTGCGAGGCTGGGTGGCTGCGTGGCTTGTGGATGTGCCTGTAGTTAGATGTGTTTATGCATGCATGCATGCATGCATGTATGTATGTATGTATGTATGCATCGGGTGCCTTTACACCGATCTTTAACACGGGTTTATCGAGGAACATGGCTCACCAAAGCGTTTTTGGGTCACATATCCTGTTGTATGGTTCGAGTTTCGGTTCGTTACACAGGGCCGAGTCAGGATGAAGCCATGGTGCACATGAGGTTAACTTTGGTTGCATGACTTACACGGAGAAAGATTGATCAAGATTGAATTGGAAGTGAAATGGCACCCAAGCAGGCAAGCGTGCCAGGCTGCCAGCAAGCCCGCCTGCTCGTACAGAGGGACGGACGGACACACAGACACATATCTGCATCGCCCAGCACCTCGTGCGTCAATTGGCAATGTTCATGCCGTTATCTTCAGCATCTTGAAGTTTACGTTTTCCCTCCCCGAAGAGTACGTGGCCGGCCTCACATACTGTACTTTCCAATATCGTTAGAAGCTGAGAAGCTGACACTAGACACTGGAACTGCGCGCAATCGCAACCTGAAGCTATACAAATCCCCATGACCATTTTTGGCCATGGCAGGTTCAAGCAGATCGAAAGAATACGCCGCAAAGCCCCGGTACTACTGGTTGTGGACGACGAGGCAGGATGTCACTCAGCTGTCCCGCCTTCGCACCCGGATGCATAAACATGCAACAGACCAACACTTGAGGTGAAATCTTCAGCCCTACTTGAGGAACGCTTGAGAACCCTTACAGAACCTCCTTTGTGTTCCCAGAGCTCATTTCCCTTGAATTGAATGTTGGGATGATGTCCTTTTAATGGATGTCTACAGTGCTAGCGGTAAACAGGGCGACATGCATGCCTGCGTTCACCTGTGCATCGTCCTGCATATATGAACGACACTGTCTGGTGTTTCGTTTGTGGGTATTCTCGCGATGATGTGCGTCCGACGGTCTCGCAACGGATCTGGAACTGGTGTTTGATCAGAGCAACCGAGAGGCTTTAGCAGCGTCAAGTTTGAAGAAGAGTATTAAGGGCCTTGCAGACTCAGTTCACTGCCTTTCGATGCGAGTTGCAATTAAGAGTTGGCGACTTGTCCTGCAGAAACAGAAAAAGCACTTTGAAATCCGACTCTTACGTGTTGACACTCAACGCGGAGGTGGGCGCCTTCGCCAGCAGCGCCGCTGTTCGCAAGCTATTTGGGGAGTTGTTGGAGCACACGTGCTTGCCCCGGGCGACAGTGAGTCCGGTTGCAACATGGGTGTCGGTAGACTGTGACCGTGAGCACATCGTACAGAAGAACAGAACAGGTGCCACCTTCACCTACTCGTCCTTTCGCGGACACCCATCTACAGCTCGCTCGGGCCAAGCAAG